AGCTCAGCAATAAGCAGCTCGGAAGAAATAAGTTCGGTATTCACTGGATCCCGAACACCTTCCATCACGCCACGTGTCCGAAGGACAGCTTTTGGAGCCACTAACGAACGCACACTCACTGAAAAAGGGAATATTTGTGCACATTCCAATGAAGGGTCATGGAAATGATTTGTGTCAAAATAACGGTCACGACAAAAAGGAGGAGACCACAGAATCAATCGAGGGAGGCAGAAGATCGCCAAAAAACACTAGATAACTACTTGTATATATAATACCCTCAATGTAAAAGAGAGACATATGAGAGAAAAATCTATACTCACAAGACACTGTTCACACTAGTTCTAAGCTAAAAAAATCGGTTGTAATCTTCTTCTTCAAGCAATACAGACCCTACGGAGCAAGAACTTCCGTAAACGTAGCCCTGGTCCTTCGGCTAGGGTGAACTACTTATATATTGTTCTTTGATCTCATTTCTTCATACTTTTTCTCTGTTACTTTAGAGTATTCACCCCCCCCCAAAAAAAAAAAAAAAAACACCTCATTAAACATTGTTCTGGACTTGGGCTGTGCATTTTCGAGAACTATCAGTATCCATATGAAGATGACTCAGGTATGAATTGCACCCTAACTAAAGATTCGAAGAATACAATTCCTCAAACAGAGATAATTACAAAATTCAACTGATTTAATATTTTGCACTGCATTGGCACACTGGTAAAGATGTTGAGCTCATGAGCCTGAGCACGAAACCAACTTAGGCACTACATAGCCACCATATCCAACTTCAAATCACAAAAAACGTATAGTGTATCCCGAAGGAACACCGTGGAGTTCAAAACCCTATATGCAAAAATCCATCAACCCCCTACCCTGAAAAGCAAATTCCTCCAAGAGAACTTCAGAAAAAACGAAAAAGGACAGACTAAATGCATTGGCTATTAACATAACAAACAATATGGAAACATAATTACCACAATTAAGATCTTAAATTAAAAAAAAAACTCCTATGGATATGATTATGCAAATCCTATTGATATCGATCAATTGAAGGATTCAACAAACTTTAACTTGAAAATTCACCTGAAATTGTAATGGCCAAGCCCATGTTTGACCCCCCACTTAAACTCCCCAACATAACAGCTCCCATCCTCAGAATTATGAACTCCACACCCATGAGACTGCCCATTACACCACTCTCCAGCATAAACATCACCAGTGTAAAACCTATACACACCATAACCATGCCTCAGTCCCTGCCTATACTGCCCGCGATATCGACTCCCTTTGGCCCAAGTCTCAACACCATACCCGTCAAACTTCTCATCAACCCAATCACCCTCATACTTCCCACTCATATGATAGTAGTACACCCCACTTCCAGAGCACTTCCCTTTGTGGAATTCACCTTCATAAACATCTCCACTGCTATAAACTCGAACCCAAGACCCGGAATTCGACCTTTTCTCCGATTTGGGCTTCGACCCAATTGACCAAACCACTGTAGGATGGGGCTTTGTGGCAGTGTTTGATGAGGAAAGCTTAATGCACAGTGTGCGGGCAAGAAATAGGCGAATTGAAGGAAGGCGAGGAAGAGCAAGACTGAAAGAAATCACGAGAATAGCTGAAAAAGCAAGAACATATAGAAAATAAAGAAGAAAGGACCACTTATGATTTGAGGTGAAGACGTAAAAGGAAGGCAAAGAAAGAAGAATGAAAAGCTTCATATGGACTCTAAGCCACCGGGTATGGCAAGAATGGTGAATCAGTTTGAAAGTCAATTTTTTCGTGGCCAAAATTACTGGAAAAGAGGCAGAACAGAGAAAGGATGATTGAAAAGATTGTGAGTCAAACACAGAGGCTTTTTGGTGGTGGAGGGAAGTAAGAGTTGGGGAATGCGCAAGAGTTGAAGGAGATTGAGACATTACAGGCCTTTTGTGGGGTGTTGAAAGAACGGTTTTGTTTGTTGATGAATTGTTGGAAATGGACTCATTCTTAAAATGGGTTTGATGGGTTGGTGTTGATGGCGTTGAAAGGTATGATGATGGGTACAGAAGTGAGGAAAAAGTTGGGATTTTGACACGCAGATCGTTTTGCGATCGAATTTGGATGTGTTTTTGATGGAGTGAAGGAATGAAACTAGGTGGGTTTGTTGGGTTGAAATCGGAAGAGAAAGAGAGGGAAGGGTTATCTTTTCCGATCGAAAACTCAAATTTCTTCTGATGCATTTACGCATAAGAGAGAAAGAGTGGATTTCTTCCGCTGCTCACCCTACTAGTTTATATTTCCAGTTTTTTCTCTGAACTCTGTACGTGTCTTGTGTGCAGTTAGGTGGGTTTTCTGTGTCATACTCGTCTAACTTCTTCGCATCTTTATCCGTGGGTGTACGGGTGAATTGATGTTTTTGGTTCGAATATTGTTCGATAGATTTAAAAATTAAATTTAATAATTTTAATTATTGAATAGATAATGAGTTTTAATAAACGCTGAGACTCGTAATAAAATTAATAATTAAGATTATCAAGTCTAATTTTTATATTTATTTTTTAAATTCATTTAATATTTTTATATTTACTTTTTAAATTCATTTAATATTTGCTCGGTTTGAGTTTGTTACTTGGGTTTGGGTGATGATGATGCCTGGTTAACGAGTGACAGAGTATTTTGAACCCATCTTTTTAAATGAGTCGAGCCCAAAACGTTGAATCCGAATTTATCAATTGGAGTCTAGCTTACAAAATTATTTAAACTCGAATTGTTTAGAAATAAATTGAGTCAAAAATGAACTAAATTTGAATTCAAAATAAGTCGAAGTCGAGTGATTCGACTCGACTATTAACCCGAGGGACTACGGTTTCTTTTTACATTAATGATTCAAATTTTATTATTAATTTTTTTTAAAATAAAAAAGAGCTTAACTGAAATAAAACATCTGTTTGAAATCGCAAACGCTCTCAAAGATCTACTCGAGCCATAGTTTAATTTCGCATCACTTTGTCGTTAGTAAGAGCGATTGGAATAATCCCTCTGAGTCGAACCTTTCTTGTTATCTCTGGCTCTGGATTTTTAGTACTCATTTTCCATTCTTATTTAACATTGTCTACTTTGAATTGAATTGAATTTTAATTCAAAAATTTTGGACTATTTGATCTAATTCGATACAAACATCTCAATTAAGTTGAATTGTAACAAATTGCATCTAAATCAATTTTAACTAATAATTACTTAATTTTATTACATTTTATGTACACATGTATAATTTTTACATAACAAACATTAATATATTTAAATTTGTATACGTGAATAATGATTTACAAGATTTGAATTCAAATTCTCGATTAAAAATGTCAGTTCACTTCTCGTTAACATCATTCATATTACGATCAAAATCAGATTCATTAGCTTGCTTATTAACAATTTACATTCAATCATGTCTGTCTTTAGTTAAGGATGGAATCACGATTTTATCCAGACGGGGCCAAGTATGGTTATAATTAATAATTTTATGCAATCATTCTATTTAACAAATTATCGTTATAAACAAACTTACAATGTACAGAATATATCAAGATCAACGTCTGTACACTACTTTTGAAAAAAAATTGTTTTATACTTATCATCATAAAATTTGATGCTTCATTTTGGGAACAAAATTTTGATAGCTCGTTATATGTCAAATCATTAAGTTTTTTTTTAAATATAATAAGAGAATTATCTCACAAAATTTTTAAAAATCTAATGAAAAGAATAATTTTATTTAAGGGTACATTTTATTTGGGCCCCTTGAAGTTTGCCAATTAATCAGATGGGTTCCCTCAGGTATGAAAAATAACACTGCCACCCCCTGCTAATACCGTAAACCTAACAAAAATGATGAAATGACTACTTTACCCTTTAACAAAAAAAAAAATCTAATTCTAACTCTCAACACACAAACCCAAAACCTAAAAATATATGTCCTTCCTCACCCCTACATACTACCAGCACCATTGCCTCGGCACACTCAATTTCACCGCACCACTGGCACCATCCTCATCCTCTCACGCTCCGCTTAGCAGCACCACAGGCCACCAATAGGTCCAATACAACCCATCACAATGCACAGATGAGAGCGAGATTGGTAGGCCATCAAAGGGTAAGAGCCCTAGGATCCGAAAATCTCTGATCCAAAAAACTCTTAAAGATCTACAAATCTCATTAAACGACACAAGACCCGTTCAAAAACGGATGCTCCGGGTCAAGGGGGGAGATTCAATTCACGAGTCCTACGTATTTATATATAATTAGTTGGTGATATGAATCTTATTCTTTTATAATATTTCATTAAATTTCCTTTTTTTTTTTTTAATAATAAAACGGATATTAACACGAGCAATGTTACTTGGACTCTAAAAGTTAATACCATTTGTTGACTTCATTCATCACTATCATTGATTTAATTGTGAGTCTAAATATTTATTAGAACTCGTCACCTATTCAATGATTATGATCGATAAAGTCGACAAATAGTATTAACTTTTAGAGTTCATATAACATTTCTCTATTAACATATCTTTTTTTTTAATTATCTTATTCAAAATTGATATCAATACATTTTTTATCGCTTGCATTGTCATTGATAAACATTAAATCACTTTTTTCTAAATACTTATATCCAGATAGGTGAAAATGATCATATTTAGGAATGTACGAGGCTATCTGAGCTCATTACAAGAGAATAAATAACAACTTGTTGACATGTATAAGTGGAAAACACTATCCTACCGTCGATGGTATGATATCGAAAATTATAATTTTATAGTTGATTGATTTTAAAATTTGTAACTTTTAAGGTTAAGTTAGAACTAATAAAGAAAAAGTTATAACTGTTTAATGGACGTTTATGTTCGATCACGAGTATTTATAATTGATCATAGTCTTTTTTTTGGGTAGGAAACAAATTTGTTTTGTTTTTTCTTTCAGTATGGTAGACTTTTCATGTACAAGTAGGGCAACAAGGGGAGATTAGGCAACATAATGATGGATAAGTTCAAATTGCACGTTCCTTAAATTACAAGCATGTCTGTAACTCTATACCCCAGACCACATGGTACCAACCTTACAAAGGGGTTTTGTGGACCTTCAGACTCAGACTATTTGAATCTTATCAATATCTTTATCTGAATGGTGTTCATTCCCAGTCATGTCCGATGGCTACTAGCTCTCGTCGAATATTTTTTTATTAGCGAAATTATCTATTATTAATGACAAATGGATTCTTTAATGATCTGCTAAGAAGAAAATTGAAAAGAAAATATAATAGAGAAATCTCACTATGTCCAGCTAATTTCTTTTGGACTTGACTACGGTACCCAAAAAAAAAAAATTCGGTACCGTATCTCTAAAATTTACTACTTTAATAGGTGTTTTTACAATTTTTGTGAATCATTTTTACAACAAAAAATTTTATCGCTCTTGTCGGTGATTTATAACTTTTATAAGTGTATTTACTACTGTGTGAATATTTTTACGATTGTTATGATAACTGTTATTATCACTTTTGTGGTATTTTACGATTAATCCTAAAAATGTGATCAAAATAATTGCGATAACAATAATAAAAATAGTCATAAAAATTATAAATGTTGATACAATACTTTTTTTTTTTTATACCATAGATAACTCTATTCCTTTTTTTAACTTCTTTTCTTCTTTTTCATTTTTTTTTTACTCTTTTTTTTTGTTAATATGGTGGGGCCTATTATGAAACTTTCCATGTCACTTCAGACAATGAAGTAATGAACCAGAAGAGAAAAGAGGTCCCATATCATTATCGTACACGTTGTTCCTTAGCCAAACTGGGGAGCCTCCATTTGACATGAACAAGTCGGTGAAGGGTACCATTTTACTCCCATTCCAGCAATTCATGGATCTATCAGCATCAAACATGAATCCTCACTCATCCATAGTACCCTTCAATGATAATATTCATATTCATATTTCCAATTGGACACTAATTCAGATGGGTCATTTTTTTCAACAGCCAAAAAGTTCGGATCAACTTATACGAACATCAATTAATTTTTCTTTTTTGTTTCGGTTAAATGCAAGTCATCTACTTTGTGATTAAAAAATTTATAAGAGATAAATCATTTCATAACTTATCTTCAAAGAGTATCAAGATTTAAACTTAGAACGTTTAACTTTATACTCGTTTATGTTATTAATTGAATTATCCTTGAGATTAATTCGGATGGGTTTCGGGCAGCTGTGATTGATTTTTAGTTGCAATTTATTTTTCTTCCAAATTGTCAAGAACTTGAGTACTTGGGAGATAGAGGGAAGAGAGCACAAATCAAGATTACGAACAACCTAGTAGAGAGAGTTTGAATCTAAGATCGTAAAAGATTTCTTTTTTGTTCGGGTTTACTAGATATGCATAACTTATAGTTGATTACATGTATTTAGAGTGTATATTAATATCATAAATCTATAAATCCAAATAACACGTGATTAAAAAAATTGTCGATTTTCTTAAAAAAAAAAAACCCAAGAATGTTATGTGAGTCAGCTAAATAGAGACTAGAGCTCGCATACATTGCATCTAATTACCCAAAAGAGGGATAAGTATTACCTGCCAAACCAAATGGTTTGGCCATTATTCATGTATTTCTTCTCTCTCATCCAATATTTAATTGGTTGTGAACAAAAAAAACAAAAGCAATAATTTTTGGATGAAGCTTCCACACATCTATGATTATGCAATTGGGTTGCCATACACTTTGTTCTTATCCACCTCTCCCCTCTCCTTTTCATCCCCATTCACTCTACCATGTCCCCTCATTCCTTAAAGGGACATTAACATCATCTTCATCATGTATGTCCTGTTAGTTTTGTTACTTTGGAAAGGGAAGCAAGGGCAAATGCAAAATCTTGTTTTTTTTTGGTGACATATCTTTTGTACATATCATATGCTTTTGGACCCTATACCAATGTTTGGTATCATATCGAAAATCTAATGAATTATGATTCAATCAAATCAAGTTACAATTGATCAATTCAAAATTGAAACTTAATTTGATTCAAAAAAATTGAAATCTGATATCATTAAGTGATTGTTTAACCTATTTATGCAGTAACTTAGTTCAATTAGATTATAACTTTGTACTCATAGGAAGAAGTGAGTTTTGATACCATAAAAGGGGAAGACTAATTACATTTGATGGGAGGGTTGAGAAAGCTGAAAATGGCTTTAGTCATCCAATTATCTTTTTCTCTTTATTTTTGCTTTTCAACAGACAAACTCTTCTAGCCATTTTTGCTGTGCTTGTGCAATGTCCACATCACGAATAGAACAAGAAACTAACATTCATTCTAAGCATTTTTGTTGATTCTTGCACTAGTTGCTAACTTTTTGAAAATTTTTTATTTTGAAAGCAACCTTGGGGTTTTTAACCTTATCCTTAACCAAAATATATAAGAAAAAGAAGGGATGACCAAATGACAATTGGGACCTTCTCGACCTAAGGGTTATGTTGGGTTCGAGTCTCCTACCATCCCTCTCGGTGTAAGGAAACTCGCACACAATCAATCATGACAATACCCGATGAGAAATAAAACGATTCCTCTACCAGAGCATGACACATACGTACTAACAGTGAAATACCGAGGGAATTAACCGACGTTGAAGACAAAACATGTAAGAGCATGTCCTGACATGCGAATTTAAAAAAATGTAGCCTAGAGTCGAGCATTTAACTCCAGACAGGGATATGGGTCCACCATGATGCAACATGTCACAGAGAATGATTTTTTCTATAGATAGATCATATCAAAAGGTTCCTCGAATCTCAAAAAATTTGAATAAAATATATAACTCTTACTGACGTAAATATCTCAGGGGCACGCGAACCAAATATTCGGTGTCAACACAATGAGTGCTCGACATAATTCAATAAATATCCTATATAAGTCATTTAATGCTGAAGGGACGTGTATTGAGTGCTTGATGTCTTAGATAAGATAGTCAGTACAAGACTAAACACCTAAAAAAAAGGCCAACATCCCTCGTGCCTAGTAATTGCACAGCTTGAAAAAT